TTCCATGCGAAATAAGCTCCAATTTGAGAGTTCTTGGTCTGAGTTCGCAAGAACACGAGGGAGAGGGTGAGAGCGAGCTGTAGGCTGAGTGTGAGCAGAGGGAGAGAGTGAAGCTCGTGTAGAGGAGGTTGGGTTGTTCCTGGATCAAGCAGGAGGTGTCAAACGCCGGTGAAACCTCGGAGTGGCAGCGGTGACTCAGCAGGGAGAAAGACGGCGGAGTTTCTCGGTTCTGTCCGTCGTCGGAACGGACGGTCATCTGGTCTCACCAGTCCAGGACATATGTACACGAGTCATAACTCGACCCATCGGGTCTCTCAGTAATAACCGTACCGTCAAATCATCTCCACGTGTGCATCACACACGTGGGTAAGGACGCTCCATGTGCAACGCACATCCCCCGCTCTCCTCGGCAATCGCCGGAACAATAAAACACGCCATCCAAATCCCTACTCCATAAAACATAATACATCAACCATCCCCTCTGACATCGATGTCACCTCTCGATGCCAGAGCGCCAGGTGCCTCCTCCAGGCCACCACCGACTATGTCGAGCGAAGTCAGTACACAACTGACAACCTCTCGCCGGCCGTCCGCCACGGAGAAACTCATCGGACCCGAGCTCAGGTCTTTCTGAGTTCCTTCGCATAACCTCGTCGGGAGAATCGCTCAATCCCGAGTCACGGGTAAATGTATTGCCAGTCTCTGCCGGGAGAATCACTCAATCCCGATCCCGTTCCATAGCTAGTGGAACGTTGGCGCGGTTACTGTGTAACCGTAGGATTTCCTCAACCCCGTGATAGCCGAATCACTCAAGACTATCACGTGTATCATCGGCTCCAAGCTCTGCCCGTGGGCAACCAATCACAATCATGTCTCCTCAATATGAAACCCGACCCGGGTCAGAGATCATAAAGAGGAGATCCCAACACTGCAACCATCGGGATATCACCTCAAACCCGCTACAATCACACGCTCAACCTTATCCCGGCCCTCCGGAATAAAGTCTCACGCCATGCCAACTACCCGGTTCCCCAATCACACACATTCATATATTATTATACTTACTCGGGTATACACACGTCCTTACTTGTTATTTTGGGTTATCTCGTTTCCTTTACATTCATTTTATTCTTTTATCCCCGATCCGACCAAATTGGGTTCCGACCATTTCGGATTACCAATTCAGCTCGTTCCGAAGGTTTTACTTACCGTAAGTCGGTTTCATTCAAGTTTCATGAGGTTCGGGTAGGAAACGGGTCTAGGTAGGTCACGTGTAGGTGTCGGTAGCATCGGGTCCCGCTTGAGCCGACGAAACAAGCCGGAACGGGAAGACAAGACCTTGGAACGGACGGTCTGCCTCAGCTAGACCGGACGGTCCAAGATGACTGGTCCCGGCGGTCTGAACTAAGCTGGAACGGACGGTCCAGTAGAGGTGGAACGGACGGTCCACCTCTGGAACGGACGTTCCAGACTTCGTCTTCTTCCCCAAAACCCTGCAGCCCTAGAACGGACGGTCTGAACCTGGACCGTTCGGTCTAGGCGAACCAGGAATTCCGAGTTTCGTATTTTCGCACCAAATTCAACATGCTATAGCTCAAAACAATCCTAGTAACATCAGGAACTCAAATCTAAGTTCAATTTCATGCAATTTGCACTCAATACACGCAAATCTCCATTTTCAATTTGATTATCATTTTCGGGCATAATCCGAAACACTCACCTGTGTCATTTCTGAGCTCTGGGGTTTGTTGCTGGGGTTTCCTAGTGTTGATTTCTGAATTTTCTCGTCGATTTCCATGCGAAATAAGCTCCAATTTGAGAGTTCTTGGTCTGAGTTCGCAAGAACACGAGGGAGAGGGTGAGAGCGAGCTGTAGGCTGAGTGTGAGCAGAGGGAGAGAGTGAAGCTCGTGTAGAAGAGATTGGCCGCCTCTGAGTCAAGCAGGAGGTGTCAAACGCCGGTGAAACCTCGGAGTGGCAGCGGTGACTCAGCAGGGAGAAAGACGGCGGAGTTTCTCGGTTCTGTCCGTCGTCGGAACGGACGGTCCGGTAAGGCGGAACGGACGTTCCGCTTGGTCTGGAACGGACGGTCTGCTTGTCAGACCGGACGTTCTGGACCGTTTTCGCCCGTTTTTCTCGCTCGTTTCGGTCCAATCCTTTGAATTGGCTTGGCTAGGTTTGATTCTATGTTCTTGAGCATTTCTCCGGCACCTAAAAGATCTTCTAGGGTTTGGTGCAGAGAAAAGAAACTCTCGGGGCATTATATTCCGTTGGAATAGTCGATCTTCTTCTCCTTGCCTCTTCTTCGTTCGGCTCGGTTGGTTCACGTTAAACCAATTCGCCCGAGCGGCTTCATGTCGTGGTCTATTCCTCGTTAATCCTTTTAACGAAAATTAAGGGCTTATCGCCTAATCATCTCATTTCCATTGATCAAGCGTCGTCAATTTCGGTTTATATCTCTCTAATCCTTTTACCGAAATTCGGGGTGTTACACGCGGGTATCGCACGGACTAAAAATATATAGAAACTTTTAAATAATTTTGTTAGTTTTAAAATTAAATACAATATTTTTTTTATTTCTAGTTCATATTTTTAAATAAAATACAGAAATAAATTTGAAAAGTGTTAAGATAATATGATGACATATTTTTTTGTATTATGAACATTTTCTGTATTTATATTATTTATGGGTTATAATATATAATTTTATTATTATAGCAAAAGTATTAACCCGCATGTGAACTAAAAATATATATAGATTTTAAATAATTTTATTTTAAAATAAAAAAATTGATTTTTTTAAAGATTCGAGATAACAAAGGAAAGCAAGAGATATCAGCCAAAATTTGACAGCAAAGCGATCGGCAAGTAACAAGACATTATAGTAAAAGGAGTGATCATTATTTAACCTTTTTTTTTTGTCGTATTGTCCCAACAAAAGAACAAGGCGCCAAATACTATTTGATAAAAAGAGGCAAGCAACTTGGTTTAATGGTGTATATAAAATAAAATTATTTCATTGAGTAAAATAAAGTTATTATTATTGTTGTTTTTTTTATGTCTGTATTAGATTAACTAATCATTCAGTCAACTTTCTTTCCTGTAAATCAGCAATATAAAATGTTATGGACCAATTAATTTTAAAAGACAAAATTAAGAATTATTTACAAAATAACTTATAATAACAGTGAACTCTGTTGTCAAAATTAGAAATTAGTTCAAACGATAAAACTGAAGATAAAACAGAATATAAAACGTATGACTTATATTCCAAATTATATGGTTGGTCCACAATTTCGAGGTTAGTTTATCCAAAAAAACATGATATTGTCAAGATTATAAGAATAATAATTTATAGTGATTTTTTTTTTAATTCAAGGTTGGAATCGATTTTTTCTTTTGTGGAATTGTAAAGAAAGTTTACAAAAAAGAATGTGAGATACTTGAAATTAAAGTTGGCATAGCGTCGGTCTTATGCAAAGAAAAATTGGACAACTATATTTTTTGTTCAACTACGAGACCAAAGAAATCCCAGTGGGCATTTAGTTAAACAATAGAAATTCAATGACGATACTCTTTTGAATACATAACTAATATCTATTCAGATATTTTTGTTCCATTAATTATATATTTTTTGGATTTTGAAGGAAAGCTGTATTTCTTGGTGAATACACATGACGCTTTTTTATTTTAGTCATTGGTTGTTCGTAATTGATAGTTTTCTTCTTCTTCTTTCGATTGATATATTTATGATGGTCAATGAGTTTTGTTCGCGTTTAAAATGAATTCTCGGAATTGCCCACCAAAAAATAAAAGATAAAATCCATAAAGATTATGAAATTGTAAACCGGCAGAAAAATAAATTCCTAAACTTTTTTTCTGACAAAATTATTCCTAAACCTGCAAAAATATCATTATAATTTTCAAACTTATAAAATGTATCATTATAATTTTCAAACTGGTTTATAAATCATCATCGTCGAGATTTTTTTTATAGTTTCAATTAAGAAGTTTGAGAATTATAATTATGGACATATCCATGTTGATATGTATGGAGGCATATGCCTCCATCGGTGTGATTAAAATTTTATAATTTCTTCATAATTCTTACCATATTTTAACCAAATTTTATAAATTCTTTCATAAGAAAATTATATTTATCACATGTAAAATTAATTTTGCCCCCATCTAAAAGTTTTGCTAGGTCCGTTATTGATTATAATGATAGGCTTTACACGTCTGAAAATAAATTTGTTAAGCGAAAAAATTTAAAAATTTATTTTCTAACATTTTACAAGTTTAGAAATTTTTATATATTTTACCAAAATAAACTAAAAAAATGTTCAAATGGAAGATTATTGCATGCGATTGTGAAATTACGGCAAAAAGGCAGTATCCCAACCCTGGTGGGTCAGTGACAATTAATAGTTATATTTATTTGATTGAGACAAGTGCTGTTGTTCTGCAATTAACATGAACTAACTCTATTTAAAAATGAATAAAAAACAAACGTGATCCCGAAAAAAATTAACAGAAGGCTCTTAAAAGGGCCGAAAAATGTTTTCAAGTCCATAAATATGGGCCCAGAACGAAAAGGCCCATTAATGTAGAATCCGCCGTTTCGTTAGCGTACGGTGCGAGTTCCGGAAAGGAAAACGGCATGCTGTGTTTTAAAACGACAACCACTCTACAATCTTAAAGCAAAAGCGACAAACAGGGTTTTAGAAGAAGAGAGATTTACGCTGAATGGACCCAAACAGCATTGAAACTTAGGCATAGAGGGAAAAATATTCTGTAGCGAAAAGAGGAAGGAAGGAAACAAGGATGAAAGCGGCATCTCAACGTTCATGTCTCTGTATATACGCACACCTAAGCATGGGCATATACATATAGTATACTTGTCGTCAAGCATACGCATTTTTAGTTCAAGTATAAGAATTAACCATCAAAGTTGAAGTCTTTCTCAATGTTTGAAAAAGAAAACTGTAACGGGAAATAAGAGTGAACCATCAAATGTTTGCTTTTGCTTCACTTCACGTACATACATATAACCTACACTACCCTCTCTCTCTCTACGACTTCGGTAGTTGGAGGACTGCTGTCGAGTATTTCAGAATTCAATACGAATACGAATACGAAGAGATTCCAAACACTTGCTATATCTCTCACCTTTACCATACAATCTTCTCCGTTTCTTGAGAAGCAGTTATGCATCCACCAGTACAGACATGAATAAAAAGCTCAAAACTTTAGACATACCCATCTGCCCTAGCGACCACCAGATGCTTTTCCTACACACCCTTCTGTCCTAGAAGGTTTTTCTCTTGGATTCGGATGCTCTTTTGCACCATCTAGACGTAAAAACCTAGGATTTCTGTTGGGAAAATGCCCTTTCATCTGGTTTCAGCCTGGAACAAGCGACGAAGAAGCAAGTCCTATGATACGGATCCGTGTATGTTTCTTTTCTCCATCATCTTCACTCGATGGCGTAAAAGTATGTTCCCTTTTTTGCTTCTGTTACTCAAAAAAATCAAACATCGAACAATCTCCAGATAAGTTTCTGGTGACACTGAAACTTCCATGAAACTAACCTTTCAGGGGTCTACAGACCAGCCGAGTTCTGGAAAATTGAAGACCAACAGCCTCAGCCAAGGAAACGGAGACATGGCTCATCAGTTTTCACCCTCAAAGAAATGGAAGAGGCCACATGTTCCTTCAGTGATGAGAATCTGCTTGGCAAAGGAGGCTTTGGTCGAGTTTACAGGGGTATTCTTAAAACAGGCGAGGTAGGAAGGAACTATTTCTGCCATTTCATTAACGTGACTCATAATGTCGGAAATGATTTAGAGAAGTAAATTGTGAAAGATGAGTTGAACATACAATTTTTTTCTCCTTTTCCATCTGGAGGTTGTTGCCATCAAGAAAATGGATCTACCGCCATTTAAAGAGGCTGATGGAGAACGGGAATTCCGTGTGGAAGTGGATATCTTGAGCAGACTAGATCATCCAAATCTGGTTTCGTTAATCGGTTATTGCGCAGATGGAAAGCACCGTTTCCTAGTATATGAATTCATGCCAAATGGAAACCTGCAAAATCATTTGAACGGTTAGTCTATTAAGAATTACGTTTATTGTGTCAAATTTCTTTATGTGGACCCACAAAATTGCAAAAGAAAAAATATCACAGGAACCAGGAAAACAATGATGAGCTGGCCAACAAGGCTCAAAATTGCACTTGGAGCCGCGAAGGGGCTCGCTTATCTCCATTCAAGTTCTGCTGTCGGGATTCCGATTATCCATAGAGATTTCAAATCTACTAATGTTCTAATAGATTCCAACTTCAATGCAAAGGTAACTAATCCAAATTACAATGAATAACAATGCACAACATTTTCACCAAGCAAATACGATAAAACTCAAAGGTGATTCTACCCTGTTGTGCAGATATCAGACTTTGGGCTAGCAAAATTGATGCCAGAAGGGAAGGAGGCCTGTGTCACCGCAAGGGTTCTTGGAACATTTGGCTATTTTGACCCAGAATATACATCGGTACATGACTCTCTAATCGCTATATGAGGATAGAGGGCAAAAGCGTGAAATAGATGCCATTCTATGGCATATTCAGACTTAATAAACAATGGAACTGGTGCAAATTTTATTTTTTACTTCTTCCATGGCAGACAGGAAAACTTACTTTACAGAGTGATGTATATGCGTTTGGGGTGGTGCTGCTAGAGCTGCTTACAGGGCGGAGAGCAGTCGACTTACATCAAGGGCCAAATGAACAGAACCTGGTGTTACATGTAAGAATAAACCGTGACAAAGATCACCATATAACCAAGTAACTACCATAATGATCTGGTTTTTGTTCTCTATGTATCAGGTTAGGAATATATTGAATGACCGAAGAAAACTCAGGAAGGTTATAGATCCAGAGCTACCACGGAATTCATACAGCATGGAAGCCGTAGCTATGTTTGCTGACCTGGCATCTCGCTGCATTCGAATTGAAGGCAGCGAGCGACCCTTGATAATGGATTGTGTCAAGGAACTTCAACTAGTAATTATCTGCACAAACTCTAAGGGTGGTTTGGGTGGGACGATTCCTACGTTCAGAAGGCCCTAGAAAGGCAGAATTTTCCACCTTGAGAGCTTAAGGATAGAAGCTCGGTACAGATGAACAAGATATTCTTATTTAAGAGAAGAGCTGTTTAGATTTGCTGCCGGCGGTCAACCTATATGAGATGGATTTATATTTGAATGTATAGTATAGAGATGTATTGAGTCAAACCACACATTTCATTCTACGGTTTCCTGTATCCTATTGCAGACTGTTTTCTAAAAGATAAGTGTGTATACGAGTTTCCTGTATTTCAGCCATTGAACCTCTCTTTTCTTTTGAACAAGAAAGGGTGTCACCACCATTAAAATTGGAGCAGACAACAAAAGCTAAAACTTCTAAACTATGGTTTGGAGAGAAGATCAGTAGCATACCAGTATGGAGATCGTCCCACCCATGAACTTAGCAAGTTGAAAAAGCTCAAACAGAGTTATAAGTAAGCAGCATGGGGCATGAGATTACGTCCTCAGTCCTACATAATGCAACGCATCATTAGCATCTTTGATTTTCAGCGCGAAAACATGAAAAGCATACTAAATATTTGATCATTACACTGTTTAAAACGTGTGAACGGTTTTTTTAGGCGTTGCTGGAAGAGGACAGCTCGTTATCAACAGCCACCATATCTACTGATTCTGGGGAGTCCGTGCACAGAGGAAGCTTTTTGCACATCAGATGCTTACGCCTCTGTAACATCAAGAGGATCAAAATATTATCCGTCTTAACAACCTCGTATCCTGCTTTCCTGTACATATTGAAAGGAGCCGAGTCGATCATCCTGCAATGCAAATAGACATCTTTCGAAGAACTCATCTGGGATATCAGCTCCTCGCTTGCTTTCAATAGATGCCAACCTATTCCCCTCCTAAAGAATCATCACATAAACATAATTAGCTTTCGTTCCACGGAAAAAGTTCAAACTTTTTTTACCAAAAAAAAAAAAAAGTTCAAACTTTCGTATGCAGACCAAACTTGTCAGCCTGGGCGGCGGTGTAAGCTATTATCCGCAACCAACAGCTTCAAGCTATACACTTACCCAGCATAATTTAACGACTATAAACCAGGAAAAGACTTCTTGAAATTACCCAAAACAGGTAACGAACGGAAGAATCATACAAAATGTTGAAGGTGGAGGAGGAAGAACGAACCTTCTAAGAGGCTTTTTCACAGTCATGTTGCAGACGTAAGGTGAATCCTTGGGAGGAATCGGCGAGGGAGGCGAAGCGTTAGCCCCTCTTCTGTCAAAACAAACCTCTACGGTCCCAGCCAGCTCCTCCGCCTCTCCGACGCCGTCTCCATCGCTACACGCTTCTGGTCTCCTCCTAAAGAAACCAACAAGAGTGACTGCGTGAGGCATTACGCCTCTCTTCTCACTCAGATATTGCTTCACCAGGAACCGCAACACAGACTCGTATCCTGTAGGTAACAGCATCGACTCGGAGAAGGACTCTGCCAGAAGCTTCACCGTCGGATCCATATCCTCCGGTCTCATGACACGAACCCACATGGACCCGGATTCTAGCTCCTGAAAATACGCAAAACCCTCCAGTGTTTTCAGCTTTTCGAGCTCTTCGTTGCTCAGAAATCTCCCCGTACGAAACGAATCCTCGAGAAATGTGTAGCTTCCAGTTTCGGTGGTTGTTGAAGCCGAAGATGAAGAAGAAGAAGAATGCGAGGAAGGAGAGAAGGCAATTCTGAGGCTGGCGCGGAGAGATTTGCCGGAAAAGAGAAAAGGGTTTCTAGGAAAGGAAGAAGAAAAAGCAAACGCCGGAGTTTGGTTTGGCCTCTGAGGGTCGACGGAGAAAGCGAGGGAGATACTTACGGCCGCCATGGACGCAGAATGAATGCTCGGAGTTCCGTCACTGTTTTTTGGGTTGGATGCTCGGAAATGGATAAATCAACTGATGACCAATTAATATAACATCCAAAACGACGTGTTTTATATCCGGGAACCTCTAGAAGGTGTGGAGGGTTTGATATCGTCATTAAAACGCGCCGTTTGTTTTTTTTTTTTGCCATGGGAAGTCATTTTCTCAAGACTTAGAACAAGTAGTTGTATCAGATATCAATAATATATATATATATAAATATAACAAAAATTAGAACTTATATTTTGGAGTGCGAAGAAGTGAATATGCAGCTTGCAAATGTTAGTATTTTCTTTTAATGGTTATGGAAAAAATATGATAAGATTCCTCTGGAAAGAAAATCTTGAATCAAGACAAGATTGTCTCTTTATGTACCGTGTGGTTCATCACACAACCCACCAAAACCTCACAACAACTCAAAATCCTTCTTCTTGCCAATTGTATATCCACACCATTCATCATCATCCATTGTCAACATCATCATCACCATAGCCATCATCATTGTTATGGCCATATTACCATGCATTCTTCCCGTATCCTCCTCCAAGTTCATTGTTGTGCAAAAGCTATGAGAAAATCAAATGTATACCGCATTCTACATTTTATATCAAAACTTATAATGCAATAGCCTTCATGAACTCTCTCTTTGTTCAAAAAAACTTAAACAAGAATAACAAAAAAAAAACGACAGTAAAAGATATTTATCGATCCGATTCTTTCATCCTCGTTCATGTGATCTAAAACTAAGAAAAACTACCTTTTTATCCGCGAAATCGGGAACATGATGACATCAAGTATGATGAGTTCCGCAATCATCACCAGACATGATCCATCCATCGCCGCAAAACCTCGAGCAAGATCTCATTCCACGTGTCAACGGGACCAGGCAAGCACCAGTGGAGACAGTCATTATGAATTCTATCCGGCACGCCGTTCTTGAACGGGAACGCGTACATGTACGGTCCCGGATGTCCGTCCGGCCGCAGTATCGACAGCCCCGTCACGTCCAACGCTTCCACGTTTGTGTTTGTGCCTGCGTTTGCGGCCGCCACTTCTTCCATCTCTATCCTCCGCATCTCCTCGTCCATTCCTTCTAGAGCCTTCCCCTCGTACGGTTCTGTCATGTTGCACGCTCCGAGGCTGTCCCAAGGTCGGCCCTCGAAATGTGACGGGGAGAACGTCGTCAATACCACATCGCGGTGGCGGTGGCGGCCACGATTGCTGACCACGGATCTCAGCGTCGTTCTTATGGCCTTTCTGAACACTTCGAAAAAACCTATTTCCGTACAGTTCCTTGCGGGGCAAGAATGGCAGCCCAAAACAGAGCCGGACTCTAAATACATGGCCGGGTGGAGAAACCAATGTCCCACGGACAAAACAACCACATCCATCTGATCCAAATCCTTTGCCCACTTCTCGTCAACGCGTTCTAGATGAAGGACGTTGTGGTCTAACCCAGACTCCGTCGATTTCTCCTTGCCCGCGACCAGAAACGGCGACCAGTAAACGGAGACGGTGAGGTTGTGGGATTTGAAAAGCCATCTTCGAAACTTATTGTCTTCGCCGTTTCTGTAGACGAGATTCGGTGTGGAGAAGGTGGCAAGCATACAGAGCAGAGACTCGAGCTGGTTTCTGGCCATGGAGTCCCCGATAAAAGCCAAGTGTTTGTCTCTCAGAAGATCGAGGAATCGGGTCGGGTCGAACCTCGGAATATCGCATTGGTTCGGTTTCCATTTCCAGTAAAGATAACCCGAATCAGGTCGGCCATGGCGGAGGCAGTTCTGACCATCCTTTATTGTTCCACAGGTCGTGCCGTTGTACAGTGGACCCATCTCACCTCGGACCCATTTGCCGTCAGTGTAATCGCATAAAGGCTTGTTCTTTTGGCCTGCAGCTTCTTCTTCTGTTGAAAGGAAAAAGGAAACAGAGAGTCTTTTTATGAGCAAGTTTCGATCTTTGAGAACGAACTGATTCCATCCCAATAATGTTGGAATTTTCGATCTGTCGAATCGCGGGCGTGTGGATGTAGCATAACAAGGCACATTGTTCGTCGTTTTTACCTGGGGAAGAAGAAGAAGAAGAAGAGTAGCTGTTGATCACGATATGAGCTGAATCTTGGAGGAGAGTTCCATCAATGGCGGAAAATGGGTAATAAAACCAGAGGCGAAACAGAGCGATGAGTAGAAACGCCAAGACAGTATAGACGGCGAGCTTCTTCTGATTCAGACAGCTGGCTTGCTCTTTGAACCCCATTTCAGGCAAGAAGAAGCTTTTTTTGTACTTGTTGCTCTTCTTCATCCAGTACATGTGACACCCGCTTCTTCTTCCTCTTTCTCATGCCTGCGGAGAAGATGACGGTAATTTAATCTATAGCCTTGTTGGGGTTAGCCTGTCAATGGAGGACATATTCTTCGAGTATTTTTTATTTTCTTCACTTATTCTCCATTATTTTCTTTAGTCCAAATATATATATATATATATATATATATATATGTACACATACTTTGCTATTTATTTCTCACTTGATAACATCAAGGTGTTGGATAGGTCTAATATGTTACAATTAGCATAATTAGTATATACATTTATACTCCATAATTATATCATTAGTGTTTAGAAATACTAATCAATTTATATGGTTAATATTCTCTGTCGGAAAATATAATAATATGATCCTGGTACATTTGAATAGTAAATATTCAGTTATAAAAAAACATAATTATATAGGATTCGCGTCGCAAAATCTAGAGAAATTGTTAGAGCATATCTATAAGTTTTTCGTAGAGCTACTCTCTACTATGTTAATTATCGTATAGCAATTATTTATCAGCTTATAAATACGAAAGTATATATATGTTAGGATAATTATAGTGATTGTTATTATATATATATATATTAGGATAATTATAGTGATTGTTATTTTATTAGTTTTGTGTCGGAGAGCAAATTGTCTGTGGCCACCGTCAGCGATAAATTGGGCGGACTCTGGATGGCGTTACATTGATAAAGTTTGAGCCACTAAATTGACCGAATTACCCTCAGGAGCAGCAACGAGACAAGTTTTGTTTAATGCGTGTGTCAGGGTATAATTGTCAGTGTAATCAACAAAAAAATGGCCAATCACAATCAAGTGTAACGTGCCCCAGTGTAATTGTTCTCTCGAAAAAAAACCATGAGAACCCGTCAGCATACGACACGTAAGCTACTTGGACCAAACCATTGATTTTTTATATAGTAATCTCTATAAAGGATTAATAAACCAAAGTGGTGTTTATCAACTATAATTAGGGATAATTATTGAGGGGCACTCCGGCCCTAGCGGCCTAGTGGTTGATTATTTAAATATTTTTGTCCATAATGGTATCATGGGGGGTTTTTAGTCATATCATACAATGATGACTACCTAATCGTAGAAATAAGAACCGACGATATAAAGAGTAAATGTTATTACTAACAATGGCAAAAGTTTAACAATGACTGATGAGCCAATTGTAGAATTGACATTTTATTTATTACACGTGAAAAAGTCAACTGTGAATTATTCAAATTTAACACTATTAATTCTAATATAATGTATGGATATACAATATCCGATATTTGCATAATCGATTTGGATGGGGCATTTTGCATTAACATCGTGGATTAAGCGGAGAGACCAACCCCGTGAAAACCAAATTATAAAAAATATTGTATTAATTAAATATAATATAATACACAATGCTACATTTTTTTCCTCAAGAGAAATCGGTTTATATATTTATTTATCAATTTTCCGATAATGTATCATATAGACTGATCCATACGGTGTCAATTACGTAGCACATGTGAAGATCCGTTCCAAGAACATGTGAAGATGTGCTCTTAGTTTCTTTCGCAATGAGTATATCGGTATTTGTTGTCCACTTCCCCCTTCGGTCCATTGCATCTGCACCCTCTATCTATTTTTTTTCCCAACCATTAAAAAATAAATATTTTTTATAATATAAAAATTCACAAATTTTTTTTATCCAACTATATATATATATATTCCAATGGATGGGAAGAAACTTTATTTCTTTTTTTACAACCTCAGCATATGAAGAAAAACACATATAAATCAATTATCAAACGAACAAAGGATTTTTTTTTTTAAATTACAAATTTAGAATTGATATTATTTAATATTTTTTTTTTTAAAAAAAAACAAAATAAGATAAGACAAGGAACCACCCATGCTTTGGTTTGGAGTGGTTGGTCTTACGGTCTCCCACCGCCTCCTATCTTATATAGGATTATTTTAATTAATCACCTCATATATTTCCTACTCATTTCTTTTGCGCAGCGAATATTTGGTGTAAAGCCAAAATTTCAATTGCAGTCCAAGCTGTAAAGTAAATGATTATGCTTGAGTGTTAGCCCCACCATCCATTAGCAGCCTTAAGTCCTCTCAAATATTTTACCTATACAAATTACGAAATTGTATCGTAAGAAATTATAAAGAGTAAAATTATTTTTTTAATCCAAATTTAAATGCTACGTAGAATTTAGGATTTTTCTATAATAAGATTAAAATAGACATAATTTGGTTAATAATTGAATAATTAAACCGGTTGTAACCATACCGAAAGATCAAATGGTTATAATCTCCTTCAAATCGAAAAATCGATTCCAACCCTAACCAAAATAAATGAAAATAAACAGAAAACGATTTTTGTTGTTGAAAATTTTAATATTCTTATCAATAATGGAGTCTTTTGATGTCTTAAAACTTAAGAACGAACTAAATTAAGTTATTTTAGGCCAACTTTGGGCCACGGTTAAAAAGATTGAAGCAAAGAATTCAGGCCAAGAAATTAGACTATAGAGATCCATTAAAATGATTGTGGAATGGGCCAATGTATACTGATGGGCCTGCGACCCACGTTTGACTGGAAATCTGTTCAATTTGAAAATCTTCTTCGTACCCCCACGAGCGCTTTGGAAACCTGCGAGAAGCGAGGAGAGCTACCCGCCATGGATCCAGCAGGAGCAACGGTGACCAACAACATCTCCGGCGGAGAATCCGAGAACTTCGCCGTCGGGAACGTTTATTCCGTCAAGGTTATCACCGGAGATGAATTCCAAGGGATCGTCATGGCGTATGACCCCAATCCCAACCTCGTCATTTTCGATATCCTTCTAAATTATTCGTTTTTGCTCTTCGCAGTATCCGAGGAAACTCTAGGATTGGTTGTAGAGAGAGATTTAGGATGATTTTTTTTCCCCTGAATTTGTTTATATCCTTGACGAGTTTTGGTTTACAAGAGGGTTTGAAACCTAGACCTGGGCATTCGAAGAGCACTCGGATGGTGAATGCTAATTTCATTACCGAGCTCACTTATCTGGGTCAGTCCGAGGATCCGCTTGCTGCCAGCGAATGCTATGTTGATCTCAACGGACTTCAATCGAAAGAGGCAAATGCCATCAGGTGATATCAAATCCCCTTCTTTGTTGTTGTTTTGAAACTTGCATTACTCTCGAATGTTAGATCTTATTGGGAATTGTATCTCGCAGGCAAGCGGAAGTAGATGCTGAGAGGATGGGCGTTGGAGTCACCGCAGAGGCTCAGAGCATCTTCGACGCATTGTCTAAAACGTAAGAATCTTCTCATTCTCAAATTGAATGGACGCTGGAATTACTCTTTACTAGTAGATGGGCGTTGCTTGATTCATGATTGTACTCTGCGTAACAATTCAGATTGTCGCTTTGTTTGGCGTATGAATCCGAATCTAACTTTTGTTATGGTTTAGGATATAGTTTGCTCTAGTCTGATCAAGGTTTGGAATGGCTATAGATGTTCTATGTCTACGACTTTTCGATAACTTCTGCTTCTGTCTGCAAATGAGTTTTCGGGTTTTGTCCAGAATCTGTTATTGTTGTCTTTTTTCTTTTTGCCAGCAGAAATGGATGAACTATGGAGATGGGAACTAGTTGTTTAGTTAAGCTGCTAGTTATTTTTAGCAAATGCATGTGTTTATCAGGCTGTTAAAAGAGCTTGCTAGTCTTTTGTTGCGTTATTATCAGGATAAGCTCGTTAAATTTTGAAATTATGTAGCATTAAATTGCTCTTGATCCCTGAGGATGCATGTTTTGGAGGCAATTTATACGCTCTGTGGCTGTAAATAGTCTTTGTTCTTGCTGGAAATGTTTTTTCTGATGCTGTTTTGACTCTTGAGAACCACTGTTGTTGTCCCATAGGCCATAGCTGTGCGAGACATGAGTAAAAATGAAATCCAAACAAGAGGATTCTTTTGCTAAGTTACTATTTATGGTTTTGCTGATAAAACTTTTGAACATGGTTTTCAACCAAATCGGCGAAAGAAAGTATAACTCATTACAGTTTTGTGTATATCAAAATCAGTATGGGAAAGAAAGTACTCAGCCTACATGTGCTTGTGGGTTTTAAACTGGCTAAGAGTCTTAAGCTTTCTCTGTGATTGGATTTAGGGTCGTGATATTGTTTTTATGTCGGTTGATAGAAGTAAGGGAGAAATGAAACCGAGAATCAACCCGTTGTGTTCGAGTTGTTTTGTCATCTTTCAGACGAATGACATGAGATTCTGGTTCATCAGGCTCCCTGTGCAGTGGGACAAGTCAGAAATTGTGGTGATGAAAGAAGTGCGTGTCCGTAGTCCATATCGTCCCGACTGCGTCCTTGGAGGAACTGCTGCTGCCAATAACCGAGTCAGGAAAGTGGTAAGTGCCAATTCACTGTAAAAATATATGTATATAATCGTGTTAAAATTGAGAAATGGGAATCAAACTGCCCTTCCATTTGGACCAATGCATTGCACTTCACAGCTTGAGCTGGAGAGACAGAGGTTGCAACTGGTCGGTTAAGGGCGGTGATGGGGCTGAGTCAGTGAAACAGCCAAAAGGGTATGTGGCTACCAATCCAGGCAGTGAGATTGTCATTGTCGTCACTCAGAATCTGAATCAGATTAGAGTTAACTGAGTTGCCGAGGTTTTGGGTTCAGTTAAACTGGTTTGTGCTGTTCTTGACAGGAACACTAAGAAAGTCTTTGCCTTCGTGTGCCAGATGGGATTAATATGTCGCCTGAAAATGTTAAACCAAATCCGAATGGTTGAGAACTTGTTAAAGAAAACAGACCAAAGTGTGACAGGTTTTTTCCTTTAACGTGGAAGTCTTTCTTACGTCTTGGATTTGGTGAACTAGTCAACAAAAACGTGTTCTTTTTAGAATATATTAAGCTCGAGCATTTGAGAATTCGTTATACAATGGATGTTTCGATATTCGGATAGGGAATGGTTCGATTCGATTATTTCGGTTTTATAAAATTAGATATCAATCAGTTATTATATTATATTCGGTTCGCTCCCACTGTTTTGGTTTCGGTTCGACTTGATTTCGGTTTTTATTAAAAAAAAAATAGGGTTTTCGGGTTTTTTTAAATTTCGGTTCTGAAAAATTCGGTTTTTTTAAAATTAATATCGTTCAAGAATTTTAGACGGTTAGAATCGGAAAAAATATCGATTTTTTTGGTCCGGTACAATCCAGCCCTAATACAAAACGTTCGAGATTCGTATACACGGACGTGTAACGCATATGAGGTATGGTTAGGGGTTATTACAGAGCCCAATAGGCATGTGATGAAATAAACCCATGAGTCGGTCTGTGTTGTGGTGAATGGGCATTGTCCATTGAATCTTGACGAGTGCGATTAAGTATGCTTAGAAGAACACTTTGGGAATCCGATTCAATATGCTTTTGTTGCATATACATATATACACATATATATATATATATACATATATACATATGCTCATGCAAAAGCAACAATTTACGTCGCAAGCCTCTTTACATCAAATCCGAAACTTTCATGTCACCAAAGTTTCTGCTTTTGTCTTTCTTTAACAAATCCTCTAAACCCCTTTTTCCATTTCCTATTTTTTGGCTTTAACCCATAAAATACTTTCGCTTTCTGCTTTCTTATCACTTTGCTAAAATCTTTGGACATCCTCTTTATTTCCACTTTAACAATCTTAAGAAAGTTGTTAATTAAGTTGGTGAGGACATATATGAACCGTTTAGACAACATTTTTTGTGGAGTAGAATCAATACGAGTGTGTGTTTGTATATATACATACGGAGAGAGAGAGAGAGAGAGAGAGGCTTAGTGGGTGTGAAAGTGGGTGAAGGAGGGGAGGATGATGAAAGAGAGGACTAAGGATGTGTCCACCGAGAGAGTGCGAAGTCTGATCATTTAAACATCAAACAGTCTCCGCTTCACCATAAATCCAAAAAGCAAATCCACAAACCCTTTTTTTAAAAGAAAAAAAAAAGTTATTATTCTCTCTCAGACGCTCCTCCCCCATTTTTTTCCCCACATTTTACACTTCTTTCCACTTTCCTACCGCACACACAGACACACACACACACATATATATATATATATATCATTATTAATTTATGGCATATGGATGGCTCTCTTTTTTCTTAAAAAAAAAATCATGTCTTAATGGTTGTTTAAGATATGTTCGAACTTCAACTCATTCCTTTAATATTTTCACCCTCAAAAGCTGAAATTTTTCAGGGATTCTCTCGGTAAGTCATTGTCAGAACTGCAACATTTGGTTACCGATGGTGAATGACATAAAGAAAACAAAAATTGGGTAACTTAGAAGAAAAAAAATGCAATTTATGTATAAATAATGTTATGAAATTGCACATAGGATTCTTCACTACCGAGAATAAAGCGAAAGTCCTGAAGATTTGATTCGTGCTCAAAGCACTAACATCTCATTCCACTCCACATTGCTTATTTTTTATGCACATGCATATATACACACGCATGTGTGTGTGTGTGTGTGTATTTTTTTTCCATTTTTTTTTTGACAAAAATATAATTCATATATCATATGTTCCTTCCTTTTATTATATCAAGCGGAGAAAGTGTGTCCTGTCACCATCCTATATATAAAACCCTAAACCCTATTTCCATGATTCTCTTGAAGAACCCATCTAAAATATCTCATCGTGGCTGCGTATATATATATACGTGGGCGTGTATGTATATGCACGCACGTAATTAAATAAAATATCATGTCATGATTAGATGCCTGCGTTTTTTAAATTTATTCGTCATTGGCAAAATATCACATATGTCATAGCCACAAAAAAATGTTATAGATGAAATGAATTTGAATAAAAATCCGAGAAGGTAAGAGGAAAATCATATGACACGAGAAATACAATTAGTAGCGAACACGTGCAACAGGAAAGGAATTAAGAAAAGTAATTAAAAGATAAACGACTTTATCGATAGAATGACATTATGATAGGAAAGTGTGCTCTTCTAACTTCCAATGAACCAGCCCCATAAAAAGAGCATTAGAAATAATTAATACAAAAATGAAATAAATTTAAAAAAAAAAAAAGTTACTGAAAGAAAAAACGATGGAACTAATCCCGATGCCTTTGACACTAATTTTCCAATTGTGTGGGCTGTCATCATTTATCTATAATTAATTACCCGTTGCTTATTACCTAACCTCTCTCTTCCCCCCCCCCCCCATAGATAGAGTTGATTATACAGATGTGTATATATATGTATATGTGTATATAGATGCAGAGCATGAGCATGTAAGGTCGAATGAAGAGATCTGTTCAAGTAATATAAACTATTATTTTAAATCATTATTATTAATCAGATGACGACAATTCTCGCGGTGGGCCCACTTTGTCATTGCGGTAAAGTGAGATTTCTCTTTTCGAATGGGCATTTTTAACCATCGGCAAAGTGAAGTGCTGTTAGCTTCCATGTGTGTATTTTGACACACAAATAACATTTACATGTACGTGTACTCTTACATGTACATTATATATATATATTATATATACACACATATAATGGAGGGATGACTTGTCAGACAGAATCGACATCTCCGGTGACTGTACATTCGCGTGCACGTAATGGCAAATGTAATTGACTTGAAATTAAGGCACTCAGCAACCAAACCCTAGAAGACTCTACGACATGTGTACGTACTGTTCACGTGACAAATTGGCAAAATCATACACACATGGTACACACACATATATATATATATATATGTGTGTATGTATGAATGAATGAAGTGGAGTGATATTATGAAGGAGGGGAGGGGGGGAAGGAAAGAGACAAAAGCAAAGAGTCACGAGAAATAGAGAGAGAGGGGCTTTGGTATGTTAGGTGGGTGTACATATGTTATGTTATGTGATATATTATTCTACTCTGTCTCCGTGACGTGTTGTCTTGCGTGGGCCAAATGCGATGCAAGTGTGATCTCTCTCTCTCTCTCTCTCTCTCTTCCCATTGAGTGATTCTTCATCCTCCCTTAAAAATAATGTATTATACCATTTCCCAACATATTCAGAAAGCTACAAATAACTACCCCTTCACATGCCATCGCACAGACGACGACGACGACCCATTCACTTCACATCATCCATGTCACTCTTTTATTTATCATCACGATGCACGCCGTACAAAAGATATAATATCTATATACGTGTATATATTTCCAAATTCCAGGCCACAACTTCGGCCTCTGAGAGGATTCTTTCCTCTCTCTCTCTCTCTCTCAAAGGCAAAATCTAGAGATTTAAACAAACAAACAAAAAATAAGGAAAACGAATACACACGCATGTGGCTATAAGATTAGAAGTCCACGATGCCGGTGGGCACAGAACACAAAATTCCCGCCAATTTAGAAAAAGAGGAAGAAGAAATTAGGAAAGAAAAAAAACCAAGCACGTGCGACACACCACGTCTCCGGCACGTGTGTGGGCGCACAAGGAATCAATCCACTCCCCATTATAAAATAAATAAAAAAAAAACTATATATTTATGTATGTATAGACTGGCAAGTCGTTGAAAGCCCATCAGGAGATAGGGCCCACAAAGTTCTTCGATCCATTAGGTAGGCCCACTCCTCCGACGCGCGCACACGCTCCTCCCCCACCACCTCATCCTCTTTCCTTCACGTCTCTTCATATCATATTATATCCCTCTGGCTGACGCGGAGGCTCTTGAAGTCACGCGTGTGGGTGCAGAGGCTTCCCCTGTCTCCCTTGGGAATCTGCAAAGCCATTAATGATGACCGGCCTCCCTCCCACCAAACCAACCCCCCACTCCGCTCCCCCGCCCTCTTTCTTATAATATATATATATATATATATAATATGCTTTTATCCAAAAATAAAAATTCAATGTGGTACCAAAATCCTTTCCCCCTTGGAAAGAACCAAAACTCACCCAAACCATATGGTATCTTCACTCCCTTATTATGTACTGATACCTCAAAATCACTCTCCTCTAACTTGAAAGAAATTAAAAAAAAAACATCCTTTAAAATGTAGAGGTTTTCCCTTCTCTTTTTTTTTTGGCTCCTTTTCCCTTTAATGGACTCTCTTATTTTTTTCATCAACCCTATGGAGAGTAGTATCGAGATATTTCTCAAACCATGGGGTCCTATTTCATTGAGAAGTGGCCTCGTCATCACCTTCCACCCAGAGACAGTTATTTAGTTTCCTCCGTTTATAGGGAGACAAATCGGGAGAGGAGAAGAGTGAAGAAGGGTCACTGGGCCTCACGGTCGATGTCCTAACGGTCACTCGCAGCTGCGGAATCACTCTCGGCCCTTTCCTCCGGCTACCGTCAAGCGCCACTGCTTGCATTAGCCTGTAACACTTCACTACCTTCTCCTGCGTATCAATCAATAAAAACGTTCAAGTCGCGTTTCTCTTTGCTTATTCACGCAATCATGATCTCGATATTATATGGTGGTCTCAATCATACTTGGCTCAATCCATGGCACCATGCCTCGGGGTTTCCCTGACGATTCGAAGACGACAGAATCGGGAGCTCGTCAGCCACGCAGAGAATCGCCGCTGCAGCAATGCTCGACGGCCAGTACTCCACAAAACATGTTTCTGTAACATATGTAATGTGTGTGTATACATTCCAATCTTATGTTTTATAAAAAGCTTTTGCATTTGGGATGCAAGAACATATAGATAGTACCTTGCATGTTGGACAATATAATATCAGTGGCCCGGGAGACAAGTAACCCGAGAAAGGTCCCCGATGGACTGATCTTGCAAGCGAAGAAGGTGAGGAAACTGAACGGGGTAACAGATCGTAGTCTCCAGTCTAGGATACTCAGGACAAGAAGCTCCATCCTCTGGATCGTTTTCGGTTGGAAGACATATTTTGTTCCTTCAACCTGTTACGTATACATATCCCCAGAGTGCGATCAAAATTCAGAGCCGATTAAGTTCTTAAAAGGATCAGATGGCAAAAAAAAACAGGGGAAGTGGTTAATTACCTGTAAACAGAGAAGAGAAGGAACGAGAAGTTCCTCCAGTTTAGCTGCTAAGGACAAGCATGCCACTGCCAAAAGTTGCATCGGCCACCCATTCGTTTGCTGTTTACACTCCAAAGCAAAATTAAAGCGAATCACATAATTAAATACTCCAAGAATAACAAAACAAAACAGAAAAAGACGAAATCGCTGGCCATGATTATTTGTGTATTTTAGGAGAGGAGCGTTAGCGCAATGATAATAAAGTTTTCGGAAAAGCGATGTACGCAGTACAAAAGTTTACTACAAAGCTATATTATACATAAGCGTCAGTTTAAATGTTTATATAATAATGATGATAGAAAGGCTCCTCCCCCGCTCCTGTTTTATCATGTTCTCTTTTACATTGCAAAGATTGGTTCTTTGTTTATGTACTAATCTTGTCTTTGTCCCATATTAATTAACGTTTAATTTATTAATTACGTCTTCGGCTCCGATTTTACAAGCTGTCTTTTTATACACTATTTCCAAGCGCTCCTAGTCGTTTTCACTACGGGAAAAGTCAAATACGAAAGTATCGAAAAGCTAAAATCCCGGACTTTTCGTCACCATTTGGGCGATAATTCGTCAATTATACAGCCAATTAAGAAAAAGCAAGCGTCGACGTTTAGTTTGGGCTTACCGGTAAGCGGCGAGCGTAGAGAAATCGGTCCATATAGTTAACGGCGAGATATGCCGTCAACGGCTGGAAGTTGTAAAAAGCTTTTACCTGAAACACAATCAATAGCACAGTGTCAAGCATTTCGTTTTCACTGCATCATCTCGGATCTTTGCATGTAACAAAGCGGCGTATTTTAGCATCATCCATTCTGTAAACAAAAAATCTACACGCCGGTCCTCGTCTATCGCCGTTAATACATCGAAACCACCTTTTTTTTTTGGTAAAGACATCAATTTTTTTTGCGGGAAAAAAAATCGTCGCTCACCTTGAGAATCCATGAGACGGCTTCTTCTCTGGCGGAAGCGTCGAGAGATTGAGACTGGAACCTAGAGAGGTAGTCGAGGCCTGGGACGAAGTGGCGTTCATCCTCGATGAAAGCGGCGATCGACTCATCCGACGAGAAATCGGCGTCGTCAGAGGCGGAATCGACCGTCGATTCGCCGGATAAGACGCCGGAATCCTCTCCGCAGAGCAGGTCCAGATCATCGGAGCAAACGGAGAACGCAACAGACATGATGACGGACAGACGGTGATGACAATCGCCGAGGATGACCGCTCCTCATTCCCTCTCCATAACCGCTATCTAGATCGGGATTCCCGCCGGGATATCGAGGGGGAAACTTCGCCGGAATCTCTCAAGGATGATAAGAAGAGAGGGAGAGAGAGGGGTGGTATGGATTTTTGGTTGTTTTGGGAGAAGAGAGCATTCATTTGTCTTGGTATATAAACACGAGACAGTGTATATGTGTGATGATATTTTCCTTCCTTTCTATTAAATTAAAAGAAAAAAAAGAGCGTAGTTTGGAGTATGGTCGTACGTAGAAGGCTAACGGTTACGGTCTTCCCGGGAAAACGGGGCTGTGTTCGGATGGCGACGGAGAGGTTTCTCCGTTTGGAGTCTTCCTCCAAAGGTCTGTGAGAGACGTTATAAGCTTGTTTCTGGCAAAAAAAAGGGACGGATACGGGAGCGTGAGCAACACGCGCCTACTGAGACGCGCAAGTTAGCGGAAAAACGGTACGAGACGTGGAAGGTGACACGTTGCAGTATTCCAGCTAATCGTACGTATGTTCGGACGCTGTGTTTCACGGGGTCGGGGGTAAAAAGCTGACGTGGTGTTCTGTTAAAACTCTTTTCGTACATCTCTTATTTACCTCCCATTTCTCCTTTTTTTCCTGAAATTAGTAAATGTCAGAAATTTGAAGGACTACTTCCAAAACATATTTATAAAAAAAAAAAAAAAGATAAGCAATTCACAATTACAGAATAAACATTTAAGAATCTAGACATAGATTTAAGCTTTGAAGGGTTTTTTCTTTTTAAAGAGAATAATAATTAATTAGATGTTTCTAGACTAATATCAGATATGAAGTCTATAGGTATAAATCAAAATAAATGGGTGAAATAATTGCGTTACTGATGGAATGAATATATATATATATATATATATATATATATATAAATCCCTTTAGACTATCAACTGTTGATAGCATATAAGGATGGCTTTAAAATAAATAACATTAATTAATGAGGATAATGCGACGTTACCAAACATGTGATGTATTTTGACGGTACGTTTTATAAACGAGTGTGTATAGTTCCGATTCATAATCGAAATTTAAAAAAAATAATAATAAAAAAAAAGGAAGGGAGTGGAGAAGTGGACTTCCTTTTCCGCGGAACTGAGTTCTGTTTCATATTCCTTTCGGTATGGATATTTGTCCCTATATGTTTTAATAATGCCACAAAAGTGATTACTCATTGGCGCCCTCTTAATTAATCTCTCCGTAATTTCCTTACACGTGTACGTAATCAACTCTTAAAATTCACCTACATGCCTTTTAGTTTTAGATTCTGAATTAAATTTCAGTTTTTATAATTAAGGTTAATTAAACCACACCCAAATGAATTAATCATATATAAGCATATTTAAATCGAATATTTTATAAAAATTGATCGGTTGTAATTTTTCAAAAAGTAAGTTGATAAAATTCAAAATTAGTATTCAAATAAGACAAAATCGTATAAAATTTTAGAATAGATATAGATTTTATGAAATTTAAGCAAATAAAAAAAGAGTAACCAAAATATATGAATATTTGTACCCGTAGTCTAAAGTAAGAATTTTTTTTTTTTTACAAAGCAACAGACTTTTTCACATGTTACGATGCATAAAAATAGCGACTTGCGTTTCAGCCTTTCTCCAAAAGGAAAAAAACAAAAAAGAGGTATATAGAATAAAGCACACCTATTATATATATATATATATATATAAACATTTTTGTAACATGTCATGACTCATGACACACAGTGAAGCTTATAATAATGTTAGTTTGGTGATTATTATTATTATTATTTGTATAAGAACGAAAAAAATAAACGAAATGTGTCATAGTCCATTTTAAATACTTCTGATGCATTTTGGTAGTGGACAACCTATATTCGACAAGCGAAATGTTTCTTATTTCGTTTTAGTTTAGGTGTTTACGTAAATACAGATATATCATATATATATATATATAATGTGTTGTAATATTTTTTTAAAAATATATATATATATAAAATAACAGTAACAAAATAATAGAAACTGATGAATGGAGGGGATCGTGGCCTCCCAACCAACAGCAACTTATCAGGCCGACAGTGCACAGGGAGAAGTGTGTCCCCTCGCTCGTTCCTGGTGCCTGGTGGGGTTTGTCATCTCGTTACCCTCTTATTTCCCTTTTATTTTTCATTTGTTATACGCGTACGTAAATAAATATTATTATTATTATTATTATTATTGGTACTTCTGACCACCAGAGTCGTCTGAGCGGTCAATGCTCGTTATTAAATGGTTAGCTTAATTTAAATTTATATCGTACGTCCATGTCCCCCCCCCCCCCATAAAACCTTGGAATGGGGGGTAGATTGAAAATGCGATACTGAACGATACAAAATTAATGAAACTTTGAATTACGTGTCGCCATCCGTACCCACAAAGAGCAAAGATCATCGTCCTTAACTATAGTGTGGTATTAATTATTTTCATTTTCATTCAGCTACTAAAATAGCATTAATCTTCACAAGATTATCCATGCGATAGTGAATATATATATATATATATATATATATATATATATAAT